ATATCTCGAGATCATCAGAGATATCTTCTCGAGGTTTCTGTAGGGGCTGTCCGTGAGATCTCGAGGAATTGCATACTGATTATGACATCGTGTGTACAGGAGCGGCGTGTCTCCGGTTGTCGTTCAATTGGAACTGGATATACGACAATGGCAGGAAGTGCAGCAGTGCTTGCGGTTGCCGACTTCAGATGAAGACGGTGTGCTGTTCAAGCGGGTGTCGGAGTATTTGGAGAAGGAGAAGAAGGTGCGCTGTCGTTCCATGAAAGCTGCATTCCCTGGCGATGTGGACAACATCAAGGAGTTGAAGTTGGATTGTTTGGAAGCTTCGGATGATGCAGAGAATGGTATCAAATGGAGATCCGACACGGAACGGAACTTGATGCAGTCGATTCCTGGGTGGACTGAAGGAACTCTTTGCAGGGCCGCTTTTGTGCCATTGAGTGCCATCCTTTTCGGCGCTGGCACTTCTGTTGTGGAATGTGTTCCGGAGGTGGATGTGGAAGGGGATGGTAATGCAGTTGTTCCTGACAGCACTGGCTCTTCATGTGTGGAAGTTGCTGAGGAGGCAGATGTGGAGATGGATGTTGCTGCGGGCATTGCTATGGAGGCCTTGCCAGAGAATTTGCAAGTTGCCAAGAAAGCATTTGCTGTGTTGGAAAATGTGAATATGAAGTTTGAGATCAAGCTGCGTGAAGTTGCGCAGATGTTGGACTGCAGTCCAGCTATCACTGCTATTGGTGAAGCGCTGTCTCGCCTTGTGTTATGGTCTTATGATGATGATGATGTTCAGAATCCGCTGGAGCGTTACCAGTGCAGACTGTGCAAGTTTGGAACTGGCGGACAGAAAGAGTTTTTGGAACATTTAGTGGAGAAACACAGTGGAGGTGCCGATGCCAGCCGTGTGCTCATCGAGTATCGTAAGAAGGTCATTGGACTGTTGACACACTTGGGCCCCACAGTTTCTTGTCTGCGCTGATCTTTTGTGGGATCGGGGTACTGAGCTTTTTGTAGCTATTTGTGTGGAATTTGCATCATAAAGTGAGATAATAGTTTTAATTCACGGCGTCGGGGTACTGAGCTTTTTGTGTTGTATTTCTGTTAACACGATCGGGGTAGGGTAGTGTTAAATGTTTGATGTGAGAAGATATCATGGTACCGAGATTTGCTGATGATGTTTTCATGAAGTGATGCATCAGGTAGGTCACCAGCTTTGCTTCGCAACGTCGCCTAATGGAGAATGCTGATGAAAGGCTTCGACAGCCCGAGCAAGGAGGTCGCTTTGAAACTGCATGCGTGGTGTGTGCTCGCAGGTTTTGGCGGGAGCAGCTGAAGCTGTTAATCTTATTCCAAGATCCGGCTGGCAGCACTGAGTTGGAGAATGGTGTGGTGGATGTGATTCCGTGTGGTCAACAGGAACGCTTGTGTCGAATTCTTGGAGTTGAAAGATACAGTCGAAGATGGCCGAAGATCGCTTTGGAGGCTCTGCATGCTTCGGCTGTTGAACATCCATACTGCAAGGGGGAGCATTTGCTCTTACACAAGCGTCGGATGCCGGTGGACTTGAAGGACCCTTACCACTGACTGCACGGGTTTGTTGCTGTCATTGAGGGATCACGGTGCCAACTTTTATTGTATGAATTTGTGCTTCATAAAATGAGCTAACATTTTCTGTTCACGGCATCGGATTACTCGGCTTTTTTTTGGTGAAGTTCTGGTAATATGTTCGGGTGTCAGTGCACTTGCAGGATCCTTGCCTGGTGTGCAGTGACTGCAAGGGCTCGTTGATGTCATCTAGTCTGACGTTGCCTCGGCACAGCTTGGCCAATGACCTTTGGATGGGCGAGCAACTGTCCGCACTGCGTGGCCTGGCCTCGGCCACGAAGCGACTCTTGCCGATGACACGGGCGTGCATGCAGGTTGTGGTATTGCAGCCCGGGCATTTGTCGCGTGAGGAACGTCAGCATGGTTTTGTAGGGAATTCGATTTTTCTCCCTCAAGCAAAGCCGTCTTCAGTGCTAACCACGCTCCCTCCAAAAGATGTTGATATGCAAGATGCAGTTTTGTTTGTTTTGGTTGGAAGCCAGAAGGATGCAGTCAAGGGCTCTTCTTTGTTGCGTGCCCCGAGAGATGAGTACACTGCCGCTGTTGGATGTTTGAGGAAAACGAATCCTTTCTATGCGGAGGTGGAACTGAGAGATGGCAGTGATGATCTTTTGGAGGGCTGTGTCTTGGAAACTGCGGAGGATTCTGCATTGGCGCAGGAGTTGCTGCAGTGAGGTCCTGCAGACGCACAGGGACAAGATGCGTCGGATGATGAGAAAATGGACGGTGCGAGTGAAGAAAAGCGTGAGGGCCTAGATGCACCAGGCAGGGTTCTGAATTGAACATGTGGTTTATGTGAGTTTTGTGGATTAATGGGTCGAGGGGGGAAGGTACGAATGACCTGTGAAGCTGAAATCGAACATAACGACTGTGTTAATATCGAGTTTTGCTTTGTAACGTCTGCGTTTCGGAACCATTTTGTTTTGTGTGTGTGAAAGTAAATATGGAAAACCCACTCACGCAAACATTGCAGGTCATTTGATGTCTTCCATTGTTGGCTTGAACGATGGTGCGGATGAACAGAACAAGTGGGTGCGTGTGTTGAAGGATGTGGAGGAGGTCTGTGTGAGACAGGGTGGGCGGCGAAGGAGCGATGCTGCCGATGTGCTTCGCAACCGCATCAACAATGAAATGCCGGCCCCGGATGCATCTGTTCCTGGTGAACTTTGGGTCGTGAAGGAGCCCAAGAGAGGCGAACACTTCAAAAAATTCGGAGAATTCAGAAGATTGCCCGTGGCACGGCTGAAAATGAGCGCAATGTGGAATCAGCTATGTTCCAAGTCAAACCTTCCAAGTTGGTTGTTCCGACCAGAGACGAACCGCTGTCGATGTTTGATCCGGCCACCTGGGGCATGTCGTTTCCGGATTTGTTTCCATGGGGTGATGGCTTGCCTTTTTTGAAGCGTGAAGCCAACATGGATGCAACAGAAGTGTTTCGATATTTGTTGCTTCGGGAAGAACTGCATTACAGTGAGGGTGATGCCTTGTTGCCAAGATGGTCGCTTTCAGTGCTTTGGATTTGGTTTATTCAATTGTTGCTGAGTTTTCTGTTTCCCCAGGATGGTTTGGTGGTTGTGTTTTGGTGGTTTCAGTTTTTGAGTTTGGTCGCCTTTGTTCCAAGTATGCGGGCAGGAGACGTTGCTTCCAGTGATGTACGACGTGCAGCGTCGATTACAGTTGATGCGTGCGACGAAAGCGCATGTGATGCGCCGTGGCTTTGGCAAACATTGTCGTGTTATTTCTGAAGTCAACACGGACCAATTGCTCAAGGCAATGGCATTGCATGGAGACAATGCGGACCTCAGGGAGTTGCTGCGAGATCCGCAGGGGGATGTGGCCTTGAAGCGAGCATTGGGAGGAGTGCTTCAGGCAACTTCGAGCATCATTGGCATGGAAGGGCACCGCAGCCAGATCCGGTTGCGTGGACATGCGGCTGGGTGGCATTATGGTTCTGCGCATCTGTTCGTCACGCCCAACATCGCAGATATGCGCTCGTCCTTGCTACTTCAATTGCACCTGCAGAATGTCAAAGTGGAAGAGTGCAAAATTGATTTGGACTGGGAGGCGGAGATGCCCGAATTGCCCAGCGCAGCTGCTATGCGACGGATTGTCGCGAGCGATCCCGTCGCTCAAGCGCGTTGCTTTGCCTTGATGATGGATTTGTTCTGTGAGGAAGTGTTGGGCATTCTTCCACCTTTGACCAAGGGAAGTTTTCGGGTTGGCGTGGCAGCAACCTTCGAAGATGGCATTGCGAGTTCCCTGCAAGGAGGTGTTTTCGGTGATATTGTGGCGTTGAACGGCCCGTTGGAGACTCAGGGTCGTGGTTCTTTGCACCCCCACATGCTTATTATCTTGCTGGGACACGACCTGGGAGATCGCTTGCGGAAACTGATTCATCGGGTGCAGCATGGTGAGTTGGTCGTTGAGTTGCAGCGGTGGAGTCGTCGTGTTTTGGAGGCTGTGCAGCGTTATCAGTATGATTCTCAATTGGCCTTGTCGGAGCAGTTGAGCAGTCCGACACAGCCACTGCCTCTGAATGAACGTCAGCGATCAGAATGTGGTCACCAGTATGAATCCGCGCCTTTGGTGCCTACGGAGCCGGATGGACACGAATTGGAAGCCTTGAAGTTGGGCAGATCCGTGGCTGGCAAGGTTTTGACATTGACCGGATGCTATGCTTCTTTGCGACCCAAGTATCTGCGACGCAGTGAACGTTCTGCGGGAGATGGTCTTGAGTGGAAGAAAAAATTCTGTGAGGATTACAGACGTTTGGTGATCCAGAATCATTTTCACAAATGCACGAAATCATGTTTCAAAAAGTTCCTCGCAATGAGCTTGGCAAAGTTGCCGTGGTTGTTGTGGTTGTTGCTGTTGTTGCTGTTGTTGTTGCTGTTGTTGTTGTGTTGTTGTTGTTGTTGGTTGTTGGTTGTTGGGGTTGTGGGCTAGGGTGTGTTGTTGTTGTCGTTTATTGTTGATTACGTTGCGGTTTCGGGCTTTGGTCATGGCTTTTTTGTTCGGTTACATGTTGCACGGTTGCTGATACGGCATCAGTTTGTGTAAAACATCTTTGTGTAGAGTGGAAAAGAGACATCTGGAGTGTACAACGTGAATAGTTGGGTGTCAATTCGAAGAAGTATGTATATGTAAACGGGAAATGTCGCTTTGGCTGAGGAAAGCCGTGAAAGGCAAACGTGGGTGTCGCTTTGGTTGCTTTCACGTTGAAATGATTCTGGGCAAGGAGGACAAGCCGAAAGTGTTGTCGGAAAGGTTGGCCTCGAGTTGCGAAAGCAGGTTTTTCTCGGTTGCAATATGAGACAGTAGATTTGAAGGAGGTTGAAGAGTTCAAAAACGAAAACCCGCATGTGTTTCAAGCTCGGCGTGATCACCCTTTTGAAGGGATGTCGAACCCGGTGGCGCAAGCAGTGATGCGATGCAATGTGGATGTGAAGTACATTGGACGCAATTTTTCAGAAGCAGACCTTTTGAAGTTTTGTGATGGGAGCATAGACCAGGAGCCTGGAGTCGAAGTTCCTGCTTCTGCATCTTCTCTGTTGGAACTGTCCGGGAGTGGATTGCAGGAGATGGAACTTCAACGCCCGGCGTTTGGTTCGTCTTCGGATGCTATATCGGGTGCTGATGCCTCACATGCAGAGCAACCTGTGTCGACTGAGTTGGATGCTTCGGATCCGCCGCCGAAGAAGCAATGCATGGGTCGTGTTTTGGACACGGAGCATAAGAAGATGCAGACGATGAGAAAGGCGCTTGAGCGCATTCTGGTGGACCTTGCAAGAGATATGATGAATGTTGGTTTTTACACTGGTGAGTATGCTGCAAAGAAGTTTGAAATTTCGCGGAGTATGTTACCTGAATTGTATGCAGGACTGTTTGCTTCGGGGCGGTCGAAACGGAAATTTTTGACGATATTTTTCTTACCGACTTTGTTTTGCAGTATTTTGTGCAAATGTCCTTAGTAAAGTAATGTAACATATCTGATTTGGAACATCACGATACCGACTCCTTTTTTGAGGATTTGTATGGGAATTCCTACAATGAAATGAGATGGTATAGATTATTTTTTTGGTGTGTGCCTTAATTTGGTTCTCAGTAAACGGCAACATTGAAGGAGTGCAGCGATTGGAAGAGGAGGAAAGGGAAAGGGCAAAGGAAGCTGCAGCGGGCTCCGAGCAGGAGCCCCTGGAGGGGGACAGGGACCCTACTATGACAGGGCAACAGAGGCGTGCATTGACGATTTTGAGAAGACTTGCCTTTGGAATGAATCGTTGTGTGGCCAAATCCAACGGTGAAATGGCGTATCAGATGTTATTCGAGCAGGAGCAACTGGTCACGTATCGTGGCTACAACATGTTCTTCCGCTATGTGCCGTATGCAATCATGCGTTGCAGACATGAGGACATGGAGGAGGTTTTGCAAGCTAGGCCGCATCTCAATGGCTCGCCCTTGGATGTGCTTCCTGACCCCGAAGGAGAGGCACCAGTGGTGGTGGATGAGTTTGCGGAGGTTGTTGATGAGGGAGGTGATGTGCCCAGAGTCCAGCAGGTGCATGTGAACTTCAACCAGAAAGACGATTACTTGCACAGGGGCTCTTCGGTTTTGTTGCAATGCATGTCTCTTTTGATGTATTCTCGCTTCGTTCGCAGAGTTTCGAGGAACAAAGCCGGCAAGGTGGATGGAGTGAAGTTTTTCGACTTTGATGAGCACTATGCCCACTTCAGTTCCTCCGTTCAGGATTGCTTGCGGTGGGTGGTTCTGTTTTTTTTGTTCTTACTTTGTTTGGTGTCTTTAAGTTTGATATTTGGAAAGTGTTAACAAGTTCGGGTGAAGTGGTTTATTTCTGTGTTGAGCTGAAATCAAATTCGCAGGAAGTGAGAGCAGCAGATGACAGTGTTGTGGTGCCTTCAGATTTGCACCTTCCGAAGGATGCTGAGGTGCAGAAGTACGCAGCTCACATGTTGGGATTATCTTTTCCATTCCCAACGTGTTCTGGAGATTGCAGTTTGTCACATCGATGCTTTGCTTGCCACACCATGGAAGAAGATGCAAAGCAAGGCGTTCTTTTTGCTCGTTTTACGCTGCATTGGAAGCACTGGAAAAGTTACATGTCAATGAGGAGGTGTTTGGCGGAAGAAAGAGTTTTGGCCGGTTTGTCTGCTCCGGTCATCCGGGATGTTGCATCAGTGCGTTCCTATGTTGCTGGCATTGGTGACACCAGCAGTGCTTTTAGATGTTTGGAGAAGCTGTTCGGTGGAGCAGAAGGAGCGGATTGTCGCTATCATGACATGCTGCGCATCTGTGAGCGCGTTGCCTGGTTCGCAGACTTGTCCGTTCCGTTTCATTACACTCAGTTGACATCGCAAGAATTCTTGGCCTATATTCAGACACCGTGGTTGGAGCGTTTCCAGCAGCACTGTGCTGCACGTCGTCTCAGCAGCAGTCGTCGGACAGCTGAGCGTTATGCTTTGATGACTGCTTTGGACAAGGAGGAGGACCTGGAAGATGATTCGGCACCGCCGGTTATAGAAGGACACGAGGTCGAGGATGATCTGCTATTGCAAGAAGAGTTGGACAACTTGGAACGTGCGCAGTGGCCGGTGGATGGAGAAGCATTGCATGAAGCTATGTTTCGGGAAGAGGATTGGATGAAGGTGTTGGGCAATCGAAAGCCATCTGTATTGCAGGACATGGTATCGAGCTTTTTGGGCGATGTTCGTGGGAATTTCCCTGATAAAAGGAGATGATATATGTTTTTCGCAGCATCATGGTACTAAGCTGTTGTTGTGTAACGTTGTTGATGATTCATCTTTCAGCGGGTGTGAGATGTGCCGAATAAAGCATGATATGCCTTGTGTTGCAACATGCGTTGTTTGCTGCATCATGCTAGCAAGCTGTAAGTAGTCATCCGTGTGGAAAATGTCTACTAAAAGGATATGATACGTTCCATGATCACCAGTATGTGGTACCGAGCTTTTGTGATATGGCCTTGTTGACGAGAACATATGTTACCGACAAACAATCATGTAGCTGTAGCTGCGGTGTTGCAGGATGCGTTGCAGCGTTTGCGTGACTTTGTGAATGGTTTGGGAGGTGTTCCGGATGCGAGGATTGATTTGGGAATCAAAGGCAACGCAGCCAGTGGATTGGAGCGTAATTGGACGTTCGCCGAAGCCCAGAGGTCTTTGATGCTGCAGAAGCAATATTTGGAATTTTGCGTTGGAGGCGGAGCTTTACTGATTCTTTTCTTTGTTTTTTTGATTTAATTTGTGGTTGTGGATGAGTTTTGTTTTGTTTTTCTTTTTTGTCGTTGTAACATATAGCTGATTTGCTGAATATGTCAGTTCTGTTGTTTTTTTTTCGGGGGGGGGAATTTTGTTTGCTTGTTGTGTTCTCGTTGGTGGGTCTTCATGCAGCAGGTGGTGAAGAGGATACTGAGATGATGGCAGATCATGTTTTTCGGCCTTTGCCAGAGACGGAAGATGCCTTTTTGGTGGAGCTGAACCAGAGGAATGTGGGTCCGAGTGATTATGCTTCTGCCTTGCTTGTGGAGCACAGTCTGAATCGCCAACAGATTTTGGCCATTGCGCCCATTGCTTGGGTCATGGAACAGATGTGGCTTAACCGAAGCAATCCGGACAATTGCATTGCGGATGGTGCGTGCAATGAAAGGTGCAATTGTCTTTGGCTCGGAGCTGGTGGATCTGGAAAGACGTATGCATACAGCAAAGTATTGAGGCCACTCTTTCGACGCTTCTTTGGACAGGATGGTTATGTTGCTGGTGCTCCGACTCACGCTGCTGTTCGCCTCCTGGGGCCTGAGGCCAAAACTTTGCACAAGTGGGCCAATGTGCACAAGAGCAGCAGCTTGGATCGCCGCTCCTTGCGTTCGGCGAAGAGCAAGGGCAGCCCGATCGAAAAGAAGATCGAAGGCATCATGGCTATGCTGTTGGACGAGTTGTCGATGGTTCCTTCGGATGTGTACCATGCTGCTTCGCTTCGATTTGCCACTGTTCGACAAGCTCGACTTATGCTTGACATGGGCGACTACTTGAAGCAGTGGTTTGGGAAGGTGCCCATTGGTGTGCAAGTTGCTGACTTTCTACAATTGCGACCCACTGCGCAAGCATCCTTGTGCGAATGGGTGGATGCGCCACGAGCTACTGATCCTGCACCGCCTCAAGACCAAGAAGACCAAAGCGATGCCGAAGAGGCCGTGGAGAAGGAGGCGGCTGAACGCACCAGCAATGCCTCAGAACTTGGACGGATCGCGTTCAAGCAATCGCTCCAGCGAGTTGTGCACTTCACTGGATCCGGTCGTTTTTCGAAGTGTGCATCCGGACAGCAGCTTGTGAGGATTCTTTTGTCCATGCGGCGAGGCGAACATCTGGAGGATGCATTGTGGGAAGCTTTGGAATCTCGAGTGATCAGCCGAGAGCAACTTTTTTCTGACAATTCCTTGCGCTCAAGGTTGTTGAGTGCTCACTGGGGCGGCCTGGCGTGGGAACAGGTTGCTCGTTTACAGCATTTGCGGGTGGCTTGGGAAGCTCAACAGAGATCCACGACTCTTTTCTTGGTGCAAGCTATTGATCGTGCATCGGGGCCCACAGATTTGACAAGGGAGCAGAGCCTGAAGGCATTGCAGGTTGTGAACATGACAAGAACGCAGTATCTCATGGGCATTTGCCCTTTGTATGAAGGGATGGCAGCACGTGTTAGTTGCATTTTGGACATGCCGATGCTGAGTCGAGAGTTGCCGGTCATTGTTCGCTCCATTAAGTTGCACCCGAAGGAACCTGTAATTTCAAACAGCAGTGGACGTGTCGTTTTGCAATATCAGCCGTTGGCCGTCTTGGTGGAGATCGATGACCCGGAATATCGTGCCATTGAATTGCCAGATGGCAGTGCTCCGAAGGGACACGTTTGGCTGCGTCCCATTACATGTGATCAGGCCTGGGATCTTCCTCTTGGGGGCAATCAATTTATGCAGGTTCATCGCAAACAGTTGCCACTGGCACCTCGTCACGTTCTCACGCACTACGGTTTGCAGGGCATCACTGCCAGACAAGGGCTGCTTGCTTTCATGTCCAAACCGTCCTGGATGAGTCAAGCGGACTATGGCTTGGCTATGTACGTGATGTTGTCAAGGCCAACCAAGCTGGAAGATCTGTGGATAGTGGATTTGCCGCCTCGCAATGTGTTCGAAAAGTTTCTGCACGAACACAATCCTCTTTTGGTGCAGCGGATGCGGGAGTTTGAAGGTCAGGCCTGCGTGGACGAGCGGAAGGCCTGGAAGTATGTGCATAGACTTTCATGGCAGTGCATCCCTTGGGTGTCACAGCATTTGTCTGCAGATGAAATGTCTGCTGATCTTTTTGCTTAGCATTGCTGGCGGGGAGCTTCGTCAGCTGCCATGTAGCGTTGTTTAGATTTACCGGATGTCTTTGTTCGACATGGTCATCTTATTTCGACGGTATACTACACTGCGACCTGACGTATGTTTCTCGCGGTAGGGACTGTCCGAGCGGGGAGCAGGCGTTGCGTCATGAAATTAGAGTTAGAAGATGTAAAACATGACCCAACGTATGTTTCTCGCGGTAGGGACTGTCCGAGCGGGGAGCAGGCATTGTATCATGAAATTAGAGTTAGAAGATGTAAAACATGACCTGACGTATGTTTCTCGCAGTAGGGACTGTCCGAGCGGGGAGCAGGCGTTGCGTCATGAAGTTAGAGTTAGAACATGTAAAACATCTACCTGACTTCAAAGGCATCCCGTAAAACTGACATTAGACCAACACTGGAGCCGGCACGTTCGTTGACTGTCATCTCTGGATCTCTGCACGCAGCATTTACCTTGATGAAAAAGAGAAATGCACTTCGCTGTGAAGTTGACTGATGATCGACTTGCTGTGTCGTGTTGACAATGAAACTGACCTGATGCTGGTTTCGCAGTGCAGTTGATGTATTTATATATAGCATGTGTATTGTTTGGATGTTCGCCATTCTTTGATAGACGTTGTTCGTGAAGCAGCAGTTGAGTCTTGAGCTTGTAGGTCATTCGCCAGAGGATGGTGCTTTCTTATCGCAAGCTCCGGAGTCGCGATCCCAGCTTCGAGCTTCAAAGATATGCTTTGTGTTGCTCCATGGGAATTCATTGTTTCACGTGCAGACCTTGTTGACCTCTTTGCTCCATAGATGTGAATCAAACATTCCTGGGCTCAGATGGCAGGAAATGGAGAAGACAAGAGTCACGCATGGGGAAACAAAATACCATGCGGCATGAGCAAATAGTGTAGGCATGCTTGACAAGACACCCCCAACGGTTGTTGCATTTCTCGAGATTTCTGAAGGGACTGTCCATGAGATCTCAAGATTTGAAACTGCCCGATGATGTTCTCCAACATGTAGTCATTGGAAATTTGAGACATAGCCTCTCTCTTTACAAGTGTGCCGCCATGTCGTTGGACGCACTTCGCTCGTATAGGCTCGTGGAGGCCAAGATCTGCGATCTGGAGATAACATGGAGAGAGCCTTCCAAAAGAGCGGCATCCCAACTGTGATCCTCAAAGCATACATGCAGCTGGTGTTTGGTCTTTAGAAGCTGGATGCGCTTCGCTGTGAAGTTGACTGATGATCGACTTGCTGTGTCGTGTTGACAATGAAACTGACCTGATGCTGGTTTCGCAGTGCAGTTGATGTATTTATATATAGTATGTGTATTGTTTGGATGTTAGCCATTCTTTGATAGACGTTGTTCGTGAAGCAGCAGTTGAGTCTTGAGCTTGTAGGTCATTCGCCAGAGGATGGTGCTTTCTTATCGCAAGCTCCGGAGTCGCGATCCCAGTTTCGAGCTTCAGCGAGTTTGCTTTGTGTTGCTCCATGGGAATTCATTGTTTCACGTGCAGACCTTGTTGACCTCTTTGCTCCATAGATGTGAATCAAACATTCCTGGGCTCAGATGGCAGGAAATGGACAAGACTTGATGTATTTATATATAGCATGTGTATTGTTTGGATGTTCGCCATTCTTTGATAGACGTTGTTCGTGAAGCAGCAGTTGAGTCTTGAGCTTGTAGGTCATTCGCCAGAGGATGGTGCTTTCTTATCGCAAGCTCCGGAGTCGCGATCCCAGTTTCGAGCTTCAGCGAGTATGCTTTGTGTTGCTCCATGGGAATTCACTGTTTCACGTGCAGACCTTGTTGACCTCTTTGCTCCATAGATGTGAATTGATCCTTCCTGGTCTTTGATGTGAGCAAATGGACAAGACAAGAGTCACGCATGGGGAAACAAAATACCATGCAGCATGAGCAAATAGTGTAGGCATGCTTGACAAGACACCCCAACGGTTCTGGCATTTCTCGAGATTTTTCGAGATTTCTGAACGTGGTTCGATCCTGTGCGGGCCGATCCTGATCTGCCGCCATTTTTAAGTCGGGACCTTGAAGGTTTCGTGACGCTGAAATTTCGCCTCCTTGAAGTACGCTTTTCCGTGCCGTCTGGAACATGTGTTTGTTTTCTCAGATCGACGCGAAATGCTGAGGTGGCACTGGGATCATGGTTTTTTTCATGTGAAGGACCGTCAGAATTTGAAGCAACTGTGTGCTGTTAGTGTCAAAATGTCATCATTTCGATTGAAAGAACAGTCGGGCCGATCGAATTCTTGGCATTTTTTGAGTTTCGACCTTGAAAACATCGCTGCCCCCCGGGGCTCAAGAAATTGTTCTCGAGGTTTTTGTAGGGCCTGTCCGTGCGACCTCGTCACTTGCAATTTGATCCCGTTCTGAACTCGCGATGGTCTTATCAGAACTGCGGACGTGGGTAGGTCTGAGCGCTGCCGATGCGGTGAGCCTTTTCGAGGAACGTGTGGAGATCGAGCCACATTGGGGCGGTCGTTGGGGCTTGAAGCCGTCGGCGACGGAGGTGCGGACATGTAGTTCACAACGTGGTCCATTTTCAATTGTACGTCATGTTTGATAGTGTTCCTTGGGCATGTGAATGCAGGCCATTCTGCGAGCACAGCAAAGTGATCCAGCGGGTGCTTCTGCCAAGGAGTTGGAAGCACACGAAATTGTCTTCACACCCGTGGGTGTGTTGAATTTGGTGGTCTCTTAGCATTTGCTGCTTTTGGGTTGGGTGTTTGTTCGTGTTTGTTATTTGCCGTGTCATGTTTGTGATTGTAGCTTTTTGTGTTCTTTGATGTTTCATGATTGTTTTTCAGTTTTGTGCATTTTCGGATGTTGTCGTCTAAGGCTGAGGGCAAACTGTGGCAATTCGAGAACTTTCCGGGATACTTTCGATTGTTCGACAAGTTGTCTGCAGAGAAGGTGGGGCCGGACGGCACACTGTATTATACAGTGATGCCGACTGCGTATGCCATCCAGTGATGTGGAGGGACAACGTGCTGTAGGGTCTGTCCGTGCATGTATCCTTCTGCTTCTCGGGCCTCTGTGAGGCCATTTGTTTTTGTTTTTTGCCATCCAGTGATGTGGAGAGACAACGTGCTGTAGGGTTTGTCCGTGTATGTATCCCTCTGCTTCACGGGTCTCTGTGAGGCCATTTGTTTTTCACAATCTGTTAACAACATGTGGAACTGTTGTTGGCGATGTGGACAATCCTGGACGTCATGCGAGAGAAACACAGAGTTCTGCGAATTGATGCGCGGGACAGTATATAGGTTGTTTATCATCTGATGCGATTGGGAAAGTGGATGCTTCCATTGCGCTTGATCAACAGGTGTCACACTTGAAGTTTTTACTTACAAATTGCATGTGCGTCTTTCGTTGCCATGTCTGTTGTTAATGTTTCTTGTCACAGTTTGTCTTTTGAAGGACTTGGCATTCTGCAGAGTCTTCTATGCTGCTGAGGTGATTTGAATGTGCGTGATGCTCGCTTACCTTGAACTCATGAAGATGACGGATGTAGTTTATAGAATCATGGTACCGGCTTTTGCTTGTTTTTGTTGGCAAACTGTGTGGGAAATTGTCTATTCAAATGAACAACATGTGGTTTTAGTCGGGAATTCACGGTACCAGATTTCTTTGAAATGTGTTGCTTTGACGTGTTCATTGCAAGCTTCACTGTTCAGTTTGCAGGTCTCGGCGACAATGGTGCCCATATCCAGTGTCAAACTTAGCAGTTGTGCTTCGAGTTTCGAAGTGCGAGTGCATAGCCAAGTGTCAAACTCATGAATTGTGTTCTCAGTTTCGAAGTCCATGATGATGCAACACGGAACAAGCATAGTGCACCTCTTTACTTCTTTACCTCTTTTCTGGGCTCAGACGTGAACGGAAAGACAAGATGCATTGTGCACGGAGGAAACAAGTGACGGTTGGCAAACAGTTATCTTTAACATTTCTTGCACTTCTCGAAGTTTCTGTAGGGGCTGTCCGTGAGATCTCGAGAATTGCATTTTGGTAATGTCAGTGTTTGTTTATTACGATGCAGTGGATCTATGTGATGTATAACACGAAAAATATATGTGATGTTTTCATTGAAATGCATGAGTAGTGGACAAAAAAAAACATATTACGGGAAGCATTGTAGCGTTCAATGTTGTACCGTTCAATTTTGTCAAAACGCATGAACAGTGAACAAAACAAATTATATGGGAATCATCGTACCGTTCAATTTTGACGATCGGCCATTTTATATCTTGGACATTTGTTGCACTTCTCGAGGTTTCTGTAGGGGCTGTCCGTGAGATCTCGGGAATTGCATTGTGATGATGTCAGGTTTTGGTTACGATGCCGTGGATCTATGTGATATATAGCACAAAAAAATATATGTGATGTTTTCATTCATTTCAATGCATCAACAGTGGAAAAATATTACGGGCAATCATGGCGGCGTGGAGACCGCCGGAGGATGAGGAAGTGGCCTGGGTGTTGGAAGTTCTGGGCTGCAAGCGATCCCATATTGTGGACATGTCGGAGGATGAGTTCCGATACATTTTGAAGCCGCGGCGGAAGCAAGTTGCATTGGCACTGCATCCGGACAAGCAAGACGATGAGAGAAGGATGATGGCGGAGGCTCAAATGAAACGCTGGAATGTGGCCTGGGAGAGACTGACGCGTAGTGTTCCGCGACAGTTCAAAGCAGCTGGTGCAGACGTCGTCCCGGCGCGAACTCAAGCTGCGCTGAATGCTCATCCTGGGATGTGGGAAGAGCCCTGGCGTGTTCCTCCTTTGTTGGTTCGGCAGTGGAAACGCAGAGGTGCAGGGCATCAGGAGTCTGAATCAGGAGATGGCGTTCCAAGTGGTTCGCAACAGCCTGGCGCGCAGTCTGCACAGGCAGGAACAGGTACCGGTGCTACTAGTTCGGATGGTGGTATGCCCAATGCTTCAGCGGGCAAGGATCCAGAAGGTGATGCTGGCACTTCGCAGTCGGATTCGACCAAGGCTTCGGAGCCTTGCACTGGTACGCCTCACTGTGTTGATTTTGATACTAGGCATTGTGCCGTTCCTGCTCAAAAATTGCTCGAATACAAGTTTTTGTATTCCGCACATGGAAAATGCGTTCAGTGCATGGATTACTACGCGAGGCAGCCCGGTCTTGATGTGACCTGTAAATCTTGCAACATGAATGCTCGCCAATGGGCTGCCAGTTCCACGGGTAGCAGAAAGCGTACCACGGTACCTATCCCAGATGATGTGGAACGATGGCTGCAACGCCACAACTTGTGATAATGTGTATATAGTTTGCTTCGATGGCCAACATTCCACTCGCATCTAAAGAGACTGTTCGTGATGCGTGGTGGGTAACATAAGTGCCATTTTGAAAAAGTTCAACTTGTGAGAATGTGTGTATAGTTTGTTTTGAGAGCAAACATTCCACCCGCATTTAAAGAGACTGTTCGTGATGCGTGGTTGTTAGCGGAAGTGCCGTTTTGAAAAGTACACTCGCGGTTGACCGTCATCCATGCAGTGATGTCATGCATTGAGATGCACTGTTATGATTTGTTCTGAGATTTCACCAGCATCAGGTCATTTTCATTGCACAACATGTGGTTTGATTCGGCGAGTCACGGTAACCTATTTTTTTGAAGTGTGTTGATTTGATGTGTTCATCGCCAGCTTCACTGTTCAGCAGTTTGCAGGTCTCTGCGACAATGGTGTCCATGCCCAGTGTCAAACTTAGCAATTGTGCTCTGAGTTTTGAAGTCGGAGAACGAATTCTTTGCATTGGATTGTGTTCTCAGTTTCTCTTGAACAAGACGAAACAAGCATAGTTTGTCTACGATGATGCAAGACGAAACAAGCTGCTCTTTGCCTCCTTACCACTTTCCTGGGCTCAGACGTGAACGGAGAAACAAGATGCATGGCAGGAAACACGGTTGGCAAACAGATATCTTGAACATTTCTTGCTCTTCTCGAGGTTTCTGTAGGGGCTGTCCGTGAGATCCCGAGAATTGCAAGTGGTAATATCAGTGTTTGTTTACGATGCAGTGGATCTATGTGATGTATAGCACGAAAAAAAAAAACAATATGTGATGTTTTTGTTTTTCATTGAGATGCATGAGCAGTGGACAAAAAAAAATAATACGGGAAGCATTGTACCGTTCAATTTTATACCGTTCAGTTTTGTTGAAACGCATGAACAGTGAACAATATAAAAATATATATTCAAATTGGTAGACGTTGTTCGGGATGTGTGGTGGTGTACTGTAACATTGTAGAAGAACTCGGTTCGCGACATGTCGAGCCCCAGTGTTAACGTCCAAGATCAACAAAAAATTATCGCGTTCCTGCTTTTGAAGTATCAGAATTTGCTGTTGGAGCTTGGGGTGGTGCTCGATGTAGAGGACGCGTCCTTGGAAGTTGTCGAGAAAGCTGCCCGAGATGTCATGGCCTCTTATCCGCAGCCTCCGAGGGACGAGAGTGAAGAAGAACATTTGCGTGAACTGAAAGGATTATTGCTGGAGTTTGAAGATTGGAAGTTGTGTGATATCCGGGACAGACAGCACATGTTGATCTCAAGATTCAGAAGTTTGCTTTTCAATTTGGGATGCAACGACAAGACATGCAAGGAAGTTTCGTTGCCCTATTTGCAGAATGAGCTTGGGAATCTCGAATCGCGTGGTCATTCACTCCGATTTGTTTCGAACTTGAAGTGCATTCTTCGGGACTTGAAAGCTTGGAGAATGCTATGTGAAGGCCGGCTCAGCGAGGAAATGGATGATGTTACCTTTTGGCGCAAAATGAGATTTGCACCACCGTCTCCGAGCGATGAAGACTCGGATAGTGAAGGTCCGACACTGTGTCGCGACGCTCCACATTGCAATGACTTCGATGAGAACTATCCTCTGGGACATGGTATCTCGAAGAAAAGAAAGAAGACGATCACCGAGGA